CTTTAGAGGGAAGAGGGTTTTATTCTGAGATTCTTGCGATAAGGCAAGTCAGCAGACTTACTTTATGTTTTAAAACCCATTTATCTCATTACTATTACTGATGTCTAAATGTAGATGTCATAGAGGCTCCAAATTATTTTTAAAAATCAGTACCTGCTTAACAACAACGGTGAACAACTTCTCTGTTAAAGAAAGACGGGGTGGGGGTGGAACGAGTTTGAGTCTTCTTTAACACTACGATAGTAGTCTCCAACTGAGATCCCATCGTTTATGATCCCGTCGTATCCCTTAGATTCCGTTGTTATTTTTTTATATTTTTAAAAAAGAAATGAGCCCCCAAAAAGCAACAAATTTTACTACTTATAAGTCACCCCTAAGATCCCACTCTCTAGTCTGAAGTTCTCACATTTTAGATCATGTTTTACGGAACAAAAAACATTCATAGATCATTAACACTTATACATACGATCACATCCCCGCTCTAAATTTCTCGATGAGTGGTACAATGTTCGCTTCAGACTCAGGGGCCTTATCATGAAAGGATCATACCCAGCTAGGTGTGAACTTTTCGTCGCCTTTGATTTCTCCGAGCATCCAACTACAGCTAGGCGTGATCCGGTAGGCAGGGTCAACAGGGCCGCATCAGATGGTGGATCGCATTTTTAAAAAACCCTGTGATTTCATTGGTGCTTCTGTTTCCCTGATCATCTTTCAGGTGTGCACAAGGAGCTTAGAACTGTAAACTCCTTGATATATATATATATATATATATATATATATATGTTACAGTAAGAATACGTACCTAGTGAGTACGCGTAATCACTGAATATTTTAGTGAATACACGCAATCCCCGTTCCACTCCAGGGTTTCACGTAATCACTGAAAGTGAAAGTTCTAGTGATAACACGAAAACCCTAAAATTAGACACGTATCATTTTACGTGTGTTTACTATTGAGCATTCAGTGAATTCACGTAATGGCCCCGCCACTGTACACTGACCAAGTTTGGTGTGCTTGTTTTGAACCACAAATACTCGTAGTTATTTAGTGAGCTTGTTTTGAACCACAAATACTGTCAAGAGCGCCCCACATCTCAACTGACCATGGTGGAAGAGACAGGATGCTGAAAGAACTGCAAAAGAAATAAGCAAACCTTCCAACTAAAGCCGTTGAACTGTTCAAGTCACTCTGTCTAGAATGCCAAAAGAAACGAAAACGGCGGATGACGAAGGGTGTTGTCGTTCGTCCAATACTCACCAAGGAGTTCTCGCCAAGGGTCAGGTGGATCTTATTGACATGCGAAGCATGCAGAGTGGATCCAATAAGAAATGGATGATGGTGTACCAGGACCACTTGACGAAGTTTTGCATCCTTCGAGCCTTGACGTCTAAAAGAGCTGCAGGGGTCGCTTTTCATTTACTGGACATTTTTCTGCTCAATGGTGCACGCGTTATTCTAAAAAGCAACAACAGATCCGAGTTCACTTCACAGGTCATCACAGAGCTGAAGAAAGTTTGGCCAAACCTAAAAATGGTGGATGGTAAGCCTCGCCATCCCCAAAGTCAGGGCTCGGTTGAGCGAGCAAATGGTGATATTAAAGATATGCTCGTGGCTTGGAAGGCTGATAATGACTCACAGGACTGGCTTACGGGCATCAAATTTGTTCACTTCCAGAAAAATAGTTCTCTTCATTCCGGGACAAAGTGCTCTCCATATTCCGCAATGTTTGGCTGTGAAGCTCGTGTTGGACTTACTACTTCGTCTTTGCCGGAGGAAGTGATTGCTCGGATAGAGACTGAAGAAGATTTTCTTGCCGTCAATGAAAATCCTCTCTCTCTCTCCCTAACTGATGGAGCGGCAAACCAGATCCAAACTGCAAGCGACGAAACACCAACAGTTAGTGTGACAGACGGTGTTCTACTTCCAGTCCAACTTGAAAGCACATCAGCACAAGACATCGATCTATCCACAGGACCTTCATTGCCCACAGCAACACCATCAGTCTACGATGTTGACTGTCCTGGTTCTTATGGACAATCGGAAGACCATGTGACGTCTCTCTTACCCTCTCCATCTGACAGTCCTGGTCCCCTGCTAAAAACCTTAGGGTAGAAGAACGCATCAAACAAATAAACATGCATCGTCGTGAAGCAGCCAATGCACGAACTTGTCAAGCAGAAAGAATAGTTAAAAGAAGTGGTGTAGATATGTGAGCTGGTAAACAAGGAGACAACGTTTGTGTGCCAGTTCCACTTGTTGATCGAGGGGGAGTCGATCCTAGACATATTCTTGCTGTCATAATTGACAGACGAGAAGACACAGACCAATAAAGATAGCCGTAAAAACTGGTATTCTCAGTGGTTTGTATTTCGGAAATCTATTCGATCTATGCCCTGAGCGTCTTCTGAACACTTACGACATGAACACCGAAACAATATTTTAACTACATTCGGCGGTGATTTTTCAATTCTATTCAGGTGGACAAAGCTTCACAGGATGCAACTGTGCTGGTGCCAAAAAGTGCTGTTCAAGACGATGTAAATGTCGTAAAGCAGGGCTTCAGTGTAACTCACGCTGTCAATTGTTGTAACAAGTGACGACGTCGATGGATTTTAAGTTTTTAACTGAAAACTGAAACAACAACAACAGCAACAACAATGGTGTCGGCCACTAAAAAAAAATTAAATGCTTTGTTTTGATATTGTGGAGCAGGTGTGTGTGTGTGTGTGTGTGTGTGTGTGTGTGTGTGAGAGAGAGAGGAAGATTGAGAGAGAAAGCGAGAGAGAGTTTTGAGACAAAGAGAGAGAGAAAGACAGAGAGTGAGAAGGAGAAAGAGTAAGACAGATGGATGGACGGATGGGTGGACGGTGGGTAATGGCACCGGGAGCCAGCCCGGGTGTTCGAGAGAGAGAGAGAGAGAGAGAGAGAGAGAGAGAGAGAGAGAGAGAGAGACAGAGAGAGAGAGAGAGACAGAGAGACACAGTGAGAGAGACAGAGAGAGAGACAGACAGACAGAGAGAGAAAGAGAGTGGGAGAGAGAGAGAAAGTAAGACAGATGGATGGACAGAGGGTAACGGCACCAGGAGCCAACCGGCCAAGGGTGGTCTGGTGTTGTCCTCCTCAGGAGCTAGCCGGGGTTGTCTATCTCTCTCTCTCTCTCTGTCGTCAGGCGCCACCACAGAGCAGAGCAGGCGGCCGATCCTCTAGTGCCCCTGGTCTAAGCCGCATTGATTTCCTATCAAACCCAGCCCTGCCTCCCAGACTCGGGGATCCTGATGGATGGCCGGGCGCGGATCGCCTGGACAAGACAATCTTTTCCCCCCCCCCGTGTTGTTGTTGTTGTTTTTTACTTTACGTGAAAGGAAGGAACCGACAGGGGGGATTTCGCCTGCTCTCACACAGAGTGGGGTGGCCGGGAAGAGT